CGTTCCCAGGGTCTCTCTTCTTCCCGCGGAAGAAGAGAGACCCTGGGAACGAGGTTGATTCATATCGTTATCAGTTCACAGAGTTTTTACTCAAGCATTTTCGGTATCCCAAAAAAAACTTTACTGTCGACGACACGTTAACTTTTCACTCCCAGTAGTGTGACCATTCAAATGAAAGCTATTGAGACAGCACTTTCATGTGGTACTGTTTATTATGCTGTACAAGGTGATTCTAACTTTTAAGTCTGTGGATGAAACCCCTAGTATGTGACCATTCATGTGGTACTGTTTGTTTATCAACTGAAATTTGAGATTTTTTTTTCAATCTTGAGCTTTGACACTCTTGGGAGTGAAAGGGTTTATACTGCGCAAGTCGAAATTTCTTATCGATCGGGAACATGTTCCAGGATGTACTAGGAGTGTTTTTTGCTCAGCACTGGTATGGAAGGGCGAAGGATGGCGCAGATATATTTTCTCTTTTAGGAACTGATTACAGTGATTAAACCTAGTTCATAAGGGAGCCGAACGTTCGTATCCGATTTCAATCTTTCTCAGTGTTAACCACCCTCGTTCGTTTTTTGGTTTATAAATGTTTTTCTACAATGGTTAGCGCGTTGGACTCCAGATCGAGCGGTCCGGATTCGAGCCCTGGCCTGGGTCATTGTGGTTGTGTTCTTGGGCAAGACACTTTACTCTCACAGTGCCTCTCTCTCTACCCTGGAGTATACATGGTAGGCCGGCGACAAAATGCTGGGGGTAGGGGGAGTAGCAATACTCCTAGTCAGAACCGGGATAAGCTCCGGTAGTGTGGGCCAGTTTGGCCCGGCTTTACCTACCTTAGTTCAACGTACTATTTGATATATAAATGAATGATTTTATACTCGGGGAAAAAGCTCTCGGAAAAACTTAAAATTTACGGCGTTCATTGAAGGAAAACTGAATAGTTTATCTCTCTCAGTCTGACACGGCATAGATTTCAAGAAATTAATATCAAATTAAAGTTATCAAACCTTACCTTTGGGGCGGCCAAAGCTCCCAGAACGAAGGTAGTGGCAAAGATGAGCACAATAAAACGCCTTGAAAACGCATGTTGTACCTTTGACGAAGCAGTCTGAACTGACTGTTTTTAGATTCTTGAAGCCTGATTTAACCTCTGAAGATAAGCTACTAGATGTTTATAAAAACTGGCGCACCCAACGAAGAAATTTAAACAAAAGACTTGGAATGTTGTTTTCCTGTTTTTCCTGGGGTTTTTTCCTGTTTTTCCATATCGACGTTTTAGGGCCTTTTAAAGAGATATTTTGTGTAAACTAACACAGTTTGATTTGTTCGAATTCTTTAGTTGAATAAAAAAAGTGACATGACAGAAGCTTCGAAGCCCGGGGGGGGGGGGGGGGGGGGGGGCTCCCATATGAAAGTGACGGGGATGCTCGTCGGAAATTTCAACCGCCACCCCTAAAAGGGACCAATCTGGGCGTGGCTCAAGCCTTTTTAACCCCAAAAAGATACCATTATACACAGTATGACGGTGTTTTTAAATTATTTATTCGCGTGCAACCCTAAAAGATACCTTGATGGCTAAAATATCGCCGTTCCGTCCTGAACACCCTAAGGGGGACCAAAATCCGTAATTTACACCCCTAAAAGGGACGACGAGCACCCCCGTCATTTTTCGTATGGGAGTCCCCCCACCCCCCCCCCCCCCCCCCCCCTCCCCCCCCCCCCCTCCCCCCCCTCCCCCCCTCCGGGCTTCGAAGGTTTTTTTGGAAACATAAATCTTAATACCCGAATTTAGCCGTTGAAAAAAAATCCAAAAATCCTAGTTGCGGGCCTTTTTTGTACCCCAAAATGACATTTTTAGTGAATCTTTGAATGCAGAGGTCCACACAAACGCGTTAAATAAAAACGCACGGGTTCGTTTTTTGGCCGGATCTCACTGTAGATCATGGAGATGCTCGAGCCCAGACGTCACTTGGGTGTGTAAGAGAATGAAAACTGAATGCAAGGCTGACAACTACGGCAAATGGCTGATTAATTTAACGGCCAATATTTGGGCTATATTTCAACGAAAAGATCTGTTGATTAATGCCCATGTGTATCTTGGACTGTTTTGAAAGCCTTGGTTCAGTAGTAGGTATTTGTTTACGAAGTGTTTTCGTCCTTATCAGGAATATTTTGCGGTTCTTGTAATTAAGGTTAAAGTAAACACGGCCTATAGATGATATATCGGCAGCATTATCTTCTTGCTATCACAAAAACGCATCCCATGGAGTTGCCGAAAACCATGTATAACGGAAATGTTTTTGGAAAATATTTTGCCTAAAATTAGAATCAATGAATGATAAATCTTCAGCTTTTTGGTGTCATGCTAAGCATTAGAAATGCAAAAATAACGTCTTAGAATTTTTTAACCCTTTCACTCCCAAGAGAGAGCAAAGTTAAAAAAACAAACAGAACCACTACAAAGTACTGCTCAATAGCTTTCATTTGAATGGTCCACACACTTGGGTTTTTCATCCACAGACTTAAAAAAGTTAGAACCGCCTTGTACAGGCATAATTAAAACAGTTACCACATGAAAGTACTTGCTCAATAGCTTTCATTTGAATGGTCACACACTAGGGTTTCCATCCACAGACTTAAAAGTTAGAACCACCTTGTACAGCATAATAAACAGTACCACATGAAAGTACTGCTCAATAGCTTTCATTTGAATGGTCACACACTTGGGTTTCATCCACAGACTTAAAAGTTAGAACCGCCTTGTACAGCATAATAAACAGTACCACATGAAAGTACTGCTCAATAGCTTTTCCATTTGAATGGTCACACAAATAGGGTTTCATCCACCAGATTTAAAAGTTAGAACCACCTTGTACAGCATACTAAAACGAAAGTTGCTGCTCAACAGCTTTCATTTGAATGGTCACACACTAGGGTGTTGATCCACATACGTAATAGTTAGAATCACCTTGTACAGGCATTAATAAACAGTACCACATGAAAGTACTGCTCAATAAGCGTCATTTGGAATGGTCACACACTTGGGTTTCATCCACAGACCTTTAAAAAGTTAGAACCGCCTTGTACAGCATAATAAACAGTACCACATGAAAGTACTGCTCAATAGCTTTCATTTGAATGGTCACACACTTGGGTTTCATCCACAGACTTAAAAAGTTAGAACCGCCTTGTACAGCATAATAAACAGTACCACATGAAAGTACTGCTCAATAGCTTTCATTTGAATGGTCACACACTAGGGTTTCAATCCACAGATTTAAAAGGTTAGAACCACCTTGTACAGCATACTAAAACGAAAGTGCTTGCTCAACAGCTTTCATTTGAATGGTCACACACTAGGGTTTGATCCCAACATTACGTAATAGTTAGAATCACCTTGTACAGCATAAATAAACAGTACCACATGAAAGTACTGCTCAATAGCTTTCATTTGAATGGTCACACACTTGGGTTTCATCCACAGACTTAAAAGTTAGAAACCGCCTTGTTACAGCATAATAAACAAGTACCACATGAAAAAGTACTGCTCAATAGCTTTCATTTGAATGGTCACACACTAGGGTTTCATCCACAGACTTAAAAGTTTAGAACCACCTTGTACAGCATAATAAAAAACAGTACCACATGAAAGTACTGCCCTCAATAGCTTTCATTTGAATGGTCACACACTTGGGTTTCATCCACAAGACTTAAAAGTTAGAACCGCCTTGGTACAGCATAATAAACAGTACCACATGAAAGTACTGCTCAATAGCTTTCATTTGAATGGTTCACACACTAGGGTTTCATCCCCACAGATTTAAAAGTTAGAACCACCTTGTACAGCCATACTAAAAACGAAAGTGCTGCTCAACAGCTTTCATTTGAATGGTCACACACTAGGGTTTGATCCACATACGTAATAGTTTAGAATCACCTTGTACAGCATAATAAACAGTACCACATGAAAAGTACTGCTCAATAGCTTTCATTTGAATGGTCACACACTTGGGTTTCATCCACAGACTTTAAAAAAGTTAGAAACCGCCCTTGTACAGCATAATAAACAGTACCACATGAAAGTACTGCCTCAATAGCTTTCATTTGAATGGGTCACACACTTGGGTTTCATCCACAGACTTAAAAGTTAGAACCGCCTTGTACAGCATAATAAACAGTACCACATGAAAGTACTGCTCAATAGCTTTCATTTGAATGGTCACACACTAGGGTTTCATCCACAGATTTAAAAGTTAGAACCACCTTGTACAGGCATACTAAAAACGAAAGGTTGCTGCTCAACAGCTTTCATTTGAAATGGTCCACCACACTAGGGTTTGATCCACATACGTAATAGTTAGAATCACCTTGTACAGCATAATAAAACAGTACCACATGAAAGTACTGCTCAATAGCTTTCATTTTGAATGGTCACACACTTGGGTTTCATCCACAGACTTAAAAGTTAAGAACCGCCTTGTACAGCATAATAAACAGATACCACATGAAAGTACTGCTCAATAGCTTTCATTTGAATGGTCACCACACTGGGGTTTCATCCACAGATTTAAAAGTTTTATTGACTCGAGGTTTGACTCCTGGGAGTAAAATGGTTTTAAAATAGTCGTCGGCTCCAAGCCATTCGTTGTGATGTTCTAGGACAGAGCATTGTTTGATTCGTATTGTCACTATTCGATTTAGACTACGAGTAGTCACTCATTCCCTCGAGAGAAAAAAAATTGGCGGCGAAGAAATCTTGGGGCGTTTCCCCGCGTGACTCTCCCCCAGATTCCGCGCGGCTTATTTCACCCAGAAAAAAACAATCCTTGGAAACACATTCATCTTTGTTTATGAGTGGTTTGTCCTTTTAAAGTGCATGAGATAAGAGACGCACAAACAATGTTCCTAAAATCGTGTTTATTTTTGTAATAGGTTTCATATTAGTCCCTGATCGAATCGAAATGACTTACCTATTGCCTAGCTCCCCCAAGTCCACCTCTCCTGTAGTCAGTGGTAGAGCGTCCGACCGGTGTGCAGAATGTCATAGGTTCGACTCCTGTTGGGAGAACTCGGACTATTTTTTCCGAGTAGCCTTGTGTCACTGAATGAATAATATTTTTTTCAAGATAAGACAAGAGATTGAACAATGCACTGAAAATAAAAGGAAAAGCCACTTGTGCTCAATACGCCCACCCAGTGATACATTGTCCTATCGATGAGTTATGGATACGGTATTCAATATAAATGGATCTTTTATCGCAGGAAAACACTTTTATCCTTGCCAGTAAAATACCACCCAAGGAACGATAGAGTAGTCATGTATTCTGTATCATAAATAGGAGTGCATTGTAAAATTTCAGTGTTCGGTTACACCCTCTGTGGTGAGATGCCGATTTACGGTATCCCGGCCCGTCAGGGGTTTAATACATTTCGGGTTTGCATTTGAGAAAGTAAAACTCTACTGTTGGACTCAAGTTCTGTGTGTTCTCTGACGTTTCCGAGGATTTGTTATCGCTTGTAATAGATTTCCCCGTTCCCCTCTAGGAGCCTGATAGACTCCGTCCCCCCGCGGCAAGCGTCGTGGACGTGTGAATTTGTTGGGGACGCGTGGGGACTCGTGGACGTGTGGGGGGACATGTGGGGACGTTGTGGACGGGCTAAAAGAAAATGTGAAAAGATATATATTTAGGTCATCTTTCGTTGAATGAAGGTAAAAATTTCTGTAGGCCTCGCGGTTTTGAGTTTTAGAATTTGATGACGTCACGTGAAAACAAAGAATAGTCCCATATTTTTGGTAAATTATAACCATACCTTGAACACCAGTGGGAATTGGAGGAAAGCCAGAGGAAGCCGGGCGAGCGCGAGGCGCGAGGGAGCTTGGAACGAGTGCGAAGTCGCGAGAGCGGGGGATGATGGGAAGGAGAAAAAATCGGACTGCGATTGTATTTGAAAGTATTATATAAAAGAAAGGTGGATAATTTTGGCCTACGGCAGCTTTAGGGATTTTTTTCGATTCTTTTGGTTTACATAGCCCTGTGGCTTTAACCATAGCCTAATGCAAACACAAGAGAAAGTTTTGGAGAATTCGAGCCCACCAAGGCTCAGGCGAGGGTTTACATAAAGTGCTTTTTCGAATTCTCCCAAACTTTCGAGTGTTTTTTCTGAAATTTTAGGCTATGTCTGGGCTATGTCAAACAAGAAGCGGCCGCGTGCCGCGCGTTTTCGCGTTTTCGTTTTACCCGTTTTTATTTTTCGTTTCTTCGTTTTCGTTTCGTGTTTTTGTTGTTAGATTTTTGTTTTATCTCGTTTTTCGTTTTGCCGTTTTTTATGATGTTTCCTGTTTCCGCGTTTTTATTCCGTGTCGTTTCGCGTTCGTTATTTCGTTTTTACCGTGTTTTTGTATTAAGTCAGGAGGAGCCTAGCCTTCCGTGTTGGTTGTGAACGTTGAAATTGAATTATGAATTATGTTAGAATGGTGTTGAATTATTTGGTTGAATTTTATCGCAAATAAAATGGGGGACTATGCAGTTTACTTAATAACTCTTTTGCAGGGGTTACGGCTTTACTCTTTGAGTTTTCTAACTTGCAGTTTACACAAGATATGCGTGTTCCTGTGTTGAATTGTATTCGTGTGTGTTGAACGTCTGGAAAAAAGGAAAAAAAAAATGGAATGAAAACTGAAAAAATGAAAGAAAAAAGGAAAAAATAAAAAGAGGGAGAAAGAAAAGAGTTTCTTCGTGATGCGCGGATGCGCGAAAAAAGAAAAAAAAAAAGGAAAAAAAAAAAAAAAAAGGAAAAAAAAAAAAAAAAACGCGGAGAAAAAAAAAAAAAAACGACCCTAGGGGGGGAGAGCGTTAGGTGGCAGAGCGTTGGGTTACGGTTTGGGTTGAAGAAAACCCGAAAAGAAAGAAAGACAACTGGGGTGAAGAGGTTGGTTTTTTTGGTTTTTTTGCGAAAGGGTTCACACCGGGACACCGGACGGTTTGTTGGGCTTAGAGGTTCGAGTTTTTTTAGTTATAGTTGTGACGCGGCATAGAGGTTGGTGGTTTTTTCCATTTGGGTATTTTTAGGGTTTTTTTTTATTTATTTTTTTTTTTTTTTATTGAGAGGTTTGTTGTGAAGAGGTTGTTGGTGTGTGGTATTTATACGCAGCCAATTTAGGTCTCGAGAGGGGGAGACTGGCGGGGACCAAGGGACTGGCGCCCGCCGACCGATGAGGACCCGAGACACCAGCGCCGACGACCGGCCGCGCGCCCAGACCGAGCCACGCAGACACCTGCGAGGACACGAGACCACCCCCGCCGACCGCGAGCCCCGACGAAACCCGACCCCCCGAGGCCCCCGACCGACCGGCCCCTGCAGATCACCGAGACCCGAACCCCGACAGACAAAATCAAAGGACCCAATATGGCGGCGGCCGGGCCCGGGGGCAGCTGTGGAACGAACTCCTCGCAGAGTTCGAGATCGTGTTTCTATGCTGGTTTTGGCTTATCCGAGGCTTCTCTTTTTCTTCACACATATGGAAAAGGAAGAAAGACGATGAAGGAAGGAAAAGGGGAAGAAGAAAAAAGAAAGGAAGAAAAAAACAAAGGAAAGAATAAGAAGAGAAAGGGAAGAAGGAAAAGACGAATACGAATCAAGGGTTTGTTTAGCGACAGGAAAGAAAGAAGAAGAAGAAGAAGCGAAAAGGAGAAAAGGGACGAAATACAAACACGAATCAAAACGAAAATACAAGCTGGCGGTACGGTTACAGACGAATCAAGCTGGTTTTACCCTTACGAATCAAGCGTACGGTGACGTAATAGGGGTAGGTACTACATCATTATTACTGGTACCTACGTGATACTATGAGGAAAAAGAAAAAAAGGAAGAAAAAAAAAAAGGAAAAACTAACTATTAAGTCCCCATTATCCAATTATTAAGAAAGTAAAGAGTAAAAAAGATTTAAAAAAGAAAAGAAAAAGTCAGAGA